GGCTTAATAAATTTGGGAGCTTGGGCAGCCGTGGCACCCGCCGTGACTTCTTCCATCGTCGCGTCGAGCTTCCCAAACATGATGTTCTCCTTTATTGATGTCCCAAACAAAGCATGGTCTTGACTAACAAGTCCCATGTTCCCTCTTATCCATTTTAAATGCAGTGTCCTCACATCTACACCATCAATCTTCACCACACCATCATCGACATCGTAAAATCGCTGAACCAACGAAATTGCTGTCGATTTGCCACTTCCACTTGCGCCAACAAGGGCAACCGTCTGTCCTGCTTCCACTTTGAGGTTGAAATCCTTTAGGACAATGGTGTCCGGGCGAGAAGGGTACGTGAATTTGACATGCTCGAATTCGAGCTCGCCTCTAATTTCATCCAGCACAAGTCCTTTGGTGTCTTCTCCATCAATGAGTGGTATTCGATCGATCCTATCGAAGATTCGTTGTGCAGCCACTGAGGCTTCTGTGAAGTACTTCACATCCGGAAGGGCTATTCCAAGGGACCTGCATTCCAATATTCACAAGGATTTTGGTAAACATCAATGATATTTCTTTAGCAATTGGACTACTTCAAAACTATAGGAATACTTTCTTCATAGAAGCCTCTAATATTACAGATATTAAGTATTTTCTACTTAGATCCAACTTGAGTAATCATTCATGTATATATATATATGCCTTTGTATTTTCATTATAGTCTAGAACTTGATTAGTTGAATAAAAAAAGTCATGGATTTTCTATAAATTATCCATTTCAGTATTTTCTTGCCTCTATTTCTATTTTTTTGGCAGTAGTGATCTAGTTGAATGTTGAAATGAACAAAATTCATATTGAGTTTTTACATGTGCTAAACAGCTATATATTCTTAATCATTGACCAGTTATGCAATTAAGTACAGACTGCTCTATTAGCATGCACTTCTAACAATAATTAATTTTTACGAGTAGTATAAACCACCAACGAATATGCACTTAATTGAGAACTTAAGCTTCAGGAGAGTTTAATTTGGATGCTAATGATTTTGACAATAGTTCAGCTACAGACAGTGATGGATTTATAAGCCAAGTTTGAATTCTCAAAAATTTGACTATCTCCAAACTCTGAAAAGATTAGAAGGAAACGATAACATGTTATAGGATCATTTCTAAGGATCAACTAATCAAGTTCCACAAAAAGACTAGGAACAAAATTCTAAAGTACTACTAGGCCTAAATACCCCAATAAGTATATATGCAATGGTCTCATTTATCAATGAAGTTTAAAGCTAAGAACTAACGGAGAGAAAGGAAATTGGTCATGTACTCTTGCTTCTAGAAACAAACATATGGACTTCCGAGTCCAAATCTGTTATCTTATTTTTCTATCTCGATAATTGTCTTCCACTAATTATTTACCATGTCATCTCAAGTTAAGAATCTGACCACATAAATAGGAATAAATACTAAAAATATTTAAACAATTCATGAAGTGTCAAAATTTAATTAGTAGGACAGCTGCCGAAACAAAAAAAATGGAGCAGTTGATCTTGATTCATGGACTTTCATATACTTACACGTAGAATAAATCAAAATAAATGTACGTGCTCAAAACATTGATGACACATATATGTATAATTTATGTGTGTGTACATGTGTTATATCAAGAAATGTATATACATGATAATTACTTAGCCTTCATAAAAATAAAATAAAATAAAAACAACGACGTACGAGAAAAGCAATTAAAATAGATAAATTAAATGCTTAGAAATAGAAATTAACTTTCAAAAAAGTTTTTTTCTTTTTCCTTTTGACCTCAACTTTCAAAAAGTTGGGGTATTTATATTCCTCACGATATATAAAGGTTAGAAGAAAAAAGTTATATTCACCTCACCTAGACCTTGATCCTATGTACGAGAATTTCTTCTTTTCCCATAATCTTTGACTTAATGTGCCAACTAAATTGACAACGAAGAGAATACACACACAGACAGAGATAATATATTTGTGCGTGTGTGTGTGTATATGTGTGTGTATATATATATACATATATATATATATATGTATATGTATATGATATTGCTTGAAAAAGAGAAAGGTGCATACAGTCCACTCAAAACGAAGGAGATGCCAGCTGCATAGATTCTTCCACCGCTCTCGCCTTTATACATGACCAAACGACTTCCATACCAAGCAAGAAATGCCCATATTGTAAACGACAATCCTGTACTCCCCACAGCCAGGCCTTTCGCAAGGCCTTGTTTGATTCCCAACTTTGTCGTTTGGTCCAATATAGCTGAATATCTCTCCACAATTCTCTTCTCGGCTGTGAAGGAATAAACTGTTCTTATGGAGCTCAGAGCCTGCTCTATAATGCTGTTTGCCTTTCCGTACTCCTTGTGAGACTTTCTTGACAAATAAAGAAGGTATCTTCCGTATATCATTCCTGGTATGATCAAGAGAAGCAATGTTGGGAAGGCCACTAGGGAGAGTCTCCATGAGAAGAAAGTGGCGAATGCGAGGCCGGAGATGAACACCGATGAGTGCATCAAAAAGATTGGCACCTAAAAAAACATGAACAAGAAAAATAAGAAATTAATTATCATGTAAAATTACGAGATTATATTCGATCAGATTACCGATATGGTAGAGTTTCTAACAATAAGATTTTTATCAAATAATTGATAATTTTGTATATTTATTCTAATAAGATTTAATAATCAGAAACATGCACTATGTATCAGTAATTTCTGTCACATAAAACTTTTGGTTTACTTAAGCCCCGTTCATTTTACCGATTCGAGTTTTACTACAGTAAAAAGCTCTCACAAATAATCACATTTAACTTTTTTACTATAGTAAAAAACTCTCACATAAAGTCACATCTCAACTCAAATTAAAAACTCGAATTAGCGAACTAAACGGGTCCTTAGTTCATAAATTTAAAGGATTAAAACACTATAACAAGAGAAAATATTGAAACAAAAATGTTTAAATTGTAATTCAAACCTAGTACGAAAAAATGGGAACATTTATCAGATTAATTATCATGTAAAATTATGAGATTATATTCGATTAGATTACTGATATGGTAGAGTTTCTAACAATAAGATTTTTATCAAATAATTGTTAATTTTGTATATTTATTCTGATAAGATTTAATAATCAGAAACATGCACTATGTATCAGTAATTTTTGTCACATAAAAATTTTGGTTTACTTAGGCTCTGTTCATTCTACCGATTCGAGTTTAAAATTCAAGTTTTACTTCAGTAAAAAGCTCTAAAAAATAGTCACATCTAACTTTTTTACTATAGTAAAAAACTCTCACATAAAGTCACATCTCAACTCGAATTAGCGAACTAAACGGGTCCTTAGTTCATAAATCTAAAGGATTAAAACACTATAACAAGAGAAAACACATTGAAATAAAAATGTTTAAATTGTAATTCAAACCTATATATATGTATGAAAAAATGGGACCAACATTGAAATAAAAATGTTTAAATTGTAATTCAAACCTATATATATGTATGAAAAAATGGGACCAATTATAAGATTGTACGGGTCCTTTGACATGCTAAAAATTAGTGGTGAAGGTACATTAGTAATTATGTAAAGAAAGGAAATTAAAGTGAGAAGGCAGACTAACTAGAACATTCCCAATAATGATTTATTTGACTGACAAGAATTGTATAGTCTAACTTATAATTACACTTAGATTATCTAGCTAAAGAAACAAGTACAACTAATTAATCAATCATGAGGTCAATTATTTTTACCTTTTCACTGAGAACTTCCTGAATAAGAAAAGTGTCCTTGGAAATACTGTTGATGACGTCTGACGTTGTGGCTTCTTGTGAGTCGAAAAAACCAACTTCCTGTCTTAGAACAGCTTCCAAGTACTTGTAACGCATCCTCAGAACTTGCCTTTCGCTAGTTTTGCTCCAACAATATCCCTCTGCAGTACCATTAATATTACATATTAATCTCGATTATTAGCCGTAATTATTTCATACATCTTTTCTTATGTTAACTAATCCAAGCTAGATCTCGTAATTAAGCTATTTAGGACTTTTTAGAATTAAACTAGGGCACTCTAGGGTTTCATCAGGAAAATAAATAAATAAAAGAAAAAAGTAACTCTTTTTTTTTTCTGTCTCCTTGAGACACTACCACTTGTGTTGTTTCTTAGATGCCTTCTGAAACAGTATAGATTTGCGATTAATTACATCCAAACAAACATTTGTCGTTAGAAAGAACGGCAAAAGCAAAGAAGAAGCAAAAAAGAAAGGTTATTTATTTTGAAATTACCCATAAAAGCCATCACCATTACCGCTAATCCCAAGTACACGAAGTTCAAACTGCACTGTTGACCAAAAAAATATGAGAAAAAATGTGAGGGTATGTCTTTTAAAAAAATACAAAAATGAAAGAAACGAAAACAAGAACGAATTATGCTGACCAGTACAAACAACAAACCTTTTCAACCTCGTCCATGAAATGCCCACGATTTTGTTGTGTCTGAGTCTGACCATATCCCAAGCTATTCATAATATGGCTTGCAAAAACCAGCAAAATGTTTGTAGACATGCCATCTCCAAGAGCTCCAATAGTACCCAAAATCATGAGCACAACATCGACCCAATCCGCGTATCTCAGAACTGTGGCTAGATTTGAAGTACCATTTTTCGCCCTCGTTATCGCCTCCGATTTCTTCGCCTCGCCGTCTACGTTCTTCTTTGGAGAACCCATGTTCTTGCTTCTACTTGTTAAGAGTTTCTCAATGAGGACTATTTATATAGACATAGGAAAGTATAAGTATATAGTATATTTCTAGAGCTAGGAAAGTGACCAGCTAGTGATTTTCCATGAAGAAATATAATTATGCTATTGATTGATGTCATGGGGGCTTTTAAGTGGGGTCCTTAAAGATTGTCATAATGGTTGTTACTTTCGATACCACATGAATATGACGAGCTCGAATAACCAATATATTTAGACTACTGTTCAACAAAGATGACTATGATCACTGTGCAATTGGCCAGTTTTTTGTTTTTATGCGGTTTAACTTTTTTTCTTCCTTTTTTATTTTTTTTTCTTTTGGTTTGTTTAGTTTTTAAAGCAATGATCGATGTGAGGGCTACTTTGCGCACATGTCGTTTCCTGTCGGATTTTTTCGTCAAATTGTAATTGTCTTTTGCATTAATGTTGCATATAAAAGTTTTCAAGATTATATTTCGGGACTTGATTCGGTATGCCTTTTTATTAGTAGTGTCAATTTTTAATCGTTATATCTGATTAAAATTACATCAGATTAAAAAGTATGTAAAATATATAATTTCTGATATAAATTTAAAGATTAAAAAGTAGAGAACTACCGATAGCTCATTTTTTTTCGTCCTTCCGGAAAAACTCCTTTATAGATTACTTTTATAGTTGCCCTGTATCATGTCCTTATTAGGTCACTTTACAACTTTTAAAATTTGTCACTCCATCCCTCAAACTTTGTTCCGTTAGAAAATAACCCCTTAGGTCGATCCATTATCATTAGTTTTTAAAATACAAAACAAAGTTAGTTGGGGGAACATAGAGGCACATTTGAAAATTGTTTATGCATATAACAACAATAACACTCTCTTGTTAATTCCTAACATTAACATTTCAAGGTTTTTATTTTTTATTTTCATTATATGCATAGACATTAGCAGGACTTCGACCAATCTTAATTTGAAGGGTTTAAAGATCACAATTATACTTTTAGAAAGCTCAAGGTACATAGTTTATTATGCATATATAGAAAAGGGGAACGGATAAATTAGAAGCTTTTTGGAAAAATAAGCTAGACTTCTAGGGCTCCTTTTTCTTTACTTAGCTGGGTTGAAGGATTTCTAAATTGTGATAATGATATTGTAAAGAATCATGAAAGATCTTTCTCTTTTCTTTTTTTTTTTCATTTTCTTTTCTTTCTCATAATGTAGTATAAATTTCGTATACTGCCATATTCTCACAATATATAGCTGTATTTTTTGGACTCTCTCTCCCCCATAAATAAATACGTACACATACACACACAACACATGTGTTTGTGTTATAAAATCAGCAAGGTACTAAATTATTTATGTCTTCTTTTTGTTCGATCTTTAATTAGCTTTTAGTTTAATATTGTTGAACGGTCGGCACTAGTAAGCTTCCCGACCTACATATATGGTACGGTACGAAGAACATCAGGGCAACTTTATTTGTCACTACATCTTTTATGGAGCCTTTTAATAAATAAAAAATAAATACACACTCCATTTAGAGAAAAGACCAAATCACACATTATAAATAATCCATGTGATGGAAAGTAAGATTATTTGCCTACTTTTTCTATTAGGAAATGATTATCTAAATTCATAATTATAGAACTATACATATTAATCTAATTGATACTATTGATCTAGCGGACACATATTAAATGAATGATATATTTCTATGGAGATTATACGTATTTCTCATTCTTTTACATACATGCATAACCTAAAATAGATAACCAAATATTCCCCCACTCACAATAGATCATTACAAAACAATATTATTCGATCAGAAGATATGACGAGATCTTTATGTTATCTAAAACTCCATACTCCAATTTGATCATTATAATTTATTTTTCCTTTTTTTGGAGTAGAAGTGAAAGAAAAAAAGTGATGTAGAAATGAAATTAAGGATGACAATTTTGGTTGTGTTCATGGGGATCCAAATTTTCATATCGATTTCAAGTTGACCCATGTGTTAATTATTTAGTGAAAAAGTCACTCAAATCCATGTTGTCACAGTTAATAATATTGATTTTTGTACCAGTTTACGTACTAATCCATTTATAACTTCACTTTGTGAATATATAAAGGCCAAAAATCTTATGCTTTTCATCTTATTTAAATTAAATATGTTAAAAAAATATATATATCTATAAATTTTAATATAATTTTAATAAATCAAGTTAATTTTGCGACGATATCTCATCAATTTGAATTTGATTTGAGTCGATTCCCCACAATATTTCCTTTTACTGTGAAACCAACTAATGGGTAAATTTTCATTTCATGACATGAAGCACAACCGAGCAGGTAAAATATGCCAAAAAAAAAAAAAATTTTGCTTGATAACATATGCGTGTACCCAAAAGAAGAGTAGTGGGTTACACTGATATTATATATTTTATAATTTATAATTAAAAATAATAATTTAAGAGGAGAAGAAGAAATTCAGTCAAGCAGACAAAATTCCCACGCTATTAATTGTTGGTAATGGCCTTAATATTCGAATAATTTCTGACCAATTGATCCACTTGAACCAGATACTAATTTTTAAATAATTTTGCCGCAGCCACACCTACCCTCTTTCGCAGCATCCATCCTTATTCTGTTTATATTCTGATTTGATGGTCTTTCTTAAAATCACGTTCTTCTTGCCATATATAATCATTTTCAACGGCCAAATCGTTGTAATGTACGATTATGACCCTTGTGGTCTTTATTTTATGTCATGTGTAAACACATGATGGAATGTTCCTTCATTAATTAAGTAGAAAAATTGTATACGTGTGATCTTGGTTTGCCAAGAGTAAGAAAAAAGAAATCTAAACTTGCACTGTTGGAGTGAAACAAGAAGCATCTTATATCATTTCCAATCTAGCTAATCAGCTCAATTTTTCCCCCCTTTTTTTGGGTGAGAATTAGTTAATTCAGATTGACAATGTGTATTTTGTGCTAATATTGCTAGATTAAATACAATTCACAAATGAAATGTCAACTTACTTAATTATCAGTAATTTTAAAATAATAAAAAACAATAATAATAACTCACTTGTCAGTACGTATAGTAACAACAATAAGAACAATGATGATAATGATGATATTAAGTCCTATGATGGCATGGAATCTTTGAGACCTGATTCTCTGATTTGATGAAAACTACAAGCATTAAAAAAAAAAAGATAATGATGATATTAAATAACAACTTTTTTTTTAAGATCAAAATATTTTCACTGTAATGAAGTTTTGTTACGTGAGGCACATTGATATGGGACCGAGATGGTACAAGAAAAATGTTAATCAATGATAGTTAATTCTGTTTTTGAGTAGAAGCCAAAAAAAAAAAAAAAAAAAATTCTCTTTTTCGTGGGATTGATAACGCAACTCCCGCAATCTTCTACTTAAATTATTGTGTTATTCTAATCTTATCCAAAGTTTTACTGTTATTGGAATGACTCCAATTTACATTAGAACTTGTTTGGTAGGAGAAAAAATTAGTGGAAGGAAAGAGAAGAATTAGTAATTAGTAGAAGCATTTTAGGATTTATGGTTGTTTGGTAAGAAGGAAAATATACAAGAGAAAATGAAATACTAGTAAAGTCCCTCTTACCAAACATAGAGCCTGTGTGGTTGGAGGATTCGTTCTCTGATTTGAATCATGGTTCATGGTTCGCTACAGTATTTTCTCTCACAAAAAACACAGGTAAATCAAAAATGGTTCTAATCTCATGGTTTTAATCCATGAACCAAACAGGCTCTATGTGGTCATACAATTTTCCTAACATATAGCAAATAAAATAAAGTTGCTAAACAAAATTTGGAGCCTAGCTAAGTTATAAAGTGTTTCTGATATACACGCATTGTTAATTTTCTCCATATATATCCCGACTTTTAGGGCGCAAAACAAGCTTAATCTTTGTTGGACTCCCTTATGCGCCTATATTTTCATGAACCACCCTAGGGCTAGCACATAGGAAGAGATACCAACTTTGGATAATTAAAATAATGCTATAACTTTATGAAGGTACATTGGTATTACTTATTAGCAATAATTTAGTGGCCTTAATACTATAAAATATATTTCTTTGAAATGTGGAGGTATCATTTTCTTGGCCCACCAAAATAAAACAAAAGATGTTAATCCTTTATTATTCAACATTCATACAGCTTCCTGATCATAGATTAATAATATATTAACTCACATCAAATAAAAGGCTCGTTTTTTTAATTTTTGGTCAAAAACCATCAAACCCCACAACGCTCATATACATCAACATGTTTAACTTTTGCTTTTAATACGAGTAATATAATAACTATAAAATATTATCATATGTTTTCCCTAATCTAGCATATGAATCATGTGCCTTATTGGTATTTGAATTTGGTTTTACCTTATATATTAGTAGCCGTAGCCTTAATTTGAAGATTTAAATAATTGCCAAAGTGGTTAAAAGGCAGCAAATTTGAAACACAATTACTCATTGCCAAACTTTGGCAATCCCAAAGAATGTTTTTCCTTTCTTTCTTTCTTTTTTTTTTTTTTGAGTAAAATCTTAAAGAATGCTTGAAACTAATACAAGTGGGACACAACTTAAGAGACATTGGCAACCACATTATTCATGTATGCATTCTAATTCCAGGTTAGTTCGTTAGTTAATAGGCCACTGGAAACAGCAAGTTTAAGAATTTTGTTTTTCTTTATTCTATAATGCTACTTATTTTGTCTCTCTCTTTTTTTTTCCCCCCCTTGCCACGTCACTGGTCGGTAAAAACCCAACTACTGAATAATGGATTTGGTACAACATATTTTGTCTTTTGTGGTGGTATTTAATCTTTAATCCTGGCCTTTGAGATCACCAAAAGGATAATTACCCAGCATAAAAAATAAGGTTCACTGGTTTTCAATCCTTGTCATGAACCAGTTTAAATATATATATATATATATATGTCTATAATATAATGATAATATATACACTAATGATAAAATATAATGATAGTCTTTTAAAAGAATTATCCAGAACCAAGTAAGAGATGATCTAGTTTGGTTTAAGTGTATATTGCTACTATACGAAAAGTTAAAGGAAAAAAAAAAATTATATTGGTACTTTTTTGCTAGAAAAATTATATTAGTACTTGCTCGGAATTGTAAGAGTACTTAAATAGATGATACATTAAAAAATTCGATCTATAGAAATACTAACGTTATTTTTTCTGTTACTCTCTTCGTTACTTTTTGCATTAAGTGACAAAAAAAAAAGTGACGCTAACATTAATTCTCCTATATCAAATATTAAAAAAAAAATTATGCTCTAGAATGTGAAAAAAAGAGAGAGAGATAATAATAAACTATCGGTACGTAGTATTGGTAGGATATGGTCTTACAATTTGAAATCATCAAATAAGTCAAAATCACAGAATATTTCTTAATATAATGATAAATTAATAGAATTGGATGAAAATCCCACAATTTAAACATAAATTTTAGTGGTAAAGTTATTCTTTTCATACCTTACTAGTTACCACACAATTCTCCACTAAACTCATAAAAACTTTAGATCAAGCAAAACAAATCATTATCAGTTTATGAAGATTTCTTTTTTCAAAAACAAAAAGCATATAGCGCATGGTTGTTAAAAGGATTCAATCTCGGGCCCATGGCATTATCATATGCAGTGATGTCTATGGCGTTACACACAATTACATGTAACACGAATTTCACTGTTTGATGTCAAAATCATTTGCAACTGACAATGATAATTTATATTAAAGCAAACCATTTGTCATATTTAAACTTTACAAAATGGATTTCAAGAGTTTGGTCCCAATCTCTTTTATCTATGGCCATTAGTTATGCGATATTTAGTACGTTCAGTCCAAAATGAAAAGAAAAAAAGAAAAGAAAACGTTAGCAAAGTTGACGTGATTGCATTGCATAATAAAACTACTAGGGGACCCTCGTCAAATTAAAAAGGTGACGAACACTAGATTTCTTTCTGTAAACAAAAATAAAAACCATTCCATAAATCAAGCAGTCACTTTCTTTTCTTTGTTGTCTTACTCGCTTTTTTTGATAAAATAAAAAAAGTAAGGCTTCAGAGCGAGCGAGCAGCATCGTCATTTTGCTGTGAAACAAAGACCTGTTTAGCAGAATTTTTACTAGAAGTTATGATTTTTTTATAAGGGTTTAGAACCATACTTTTAAAAGAGTTTATTGGGTTAAAATAATTTTTAAATTTTCTATTAAGTAATAAAAGTGTTGGAATAAAACTTATAATACCTTAATAAAACTCTGTTACAAGTATCGAAATTTATTCAAAAGTGCCTTTTTTCATAGCCTCATTTTGTGTCTTTGACTAGAAGGTCTTCTCTAAAAAACCAAAACACTTATTATAGATCATACGTACAATTTTAGAAGCAGTTTTTGGACTCAAGAATTTAAGAGTAGGCTCTAAGAAAGTAATTTAATGGGAAACAAAAAAAAAACTAAAATTACCACTTAAGATGAAAAAAAAAATTCTATTTATGCAACTCCACTAAAAAATAAACAATTGTCAGTTCAATTAATAAAGAGAAAATAAAAAAAAACACTCAATTATTTAAAATGACGTAAATAATAGGCATACAAAAAATCATGTACTTTTCTCTAATTTAATTAGAGAGAGTCCAAATATGGTTTTTTGCTCTATAGAGGTTGGTTCCATCCATTCTGTTCTTCCTAATTATGGCCATGCAAAGCGAAGGATTATGCTAAGCAATAACATTAACAAGAAGCTTGTGACCAGCCCACGCACTAGATGTCCACATCCATTCCAAAGCCTTGACCATTTACTTGCTTTTTAACCTTTATCTAAAGGCACTAGTTTTATATATCTGCTTTCTTAAAGCCTAAAATTATCCTAGTCCTATTTATCTTTTGCTTTCTCTCGGTTGTTTTGCTCCCTTTTCCTTGCTTTCTCCTTGTTCAGAGGGGAAATCATATCTCATCAACTCTTTTTTTTTTTTTTTGATAATTAGATCTCATCAACTCTTAGTAGGATCTTTATTGAGCATAATTCGGTGGAGATTCTTGTATATACAACTGAAACTGACAAAGTAGACCCATAGTGCTTATAAAACTGAAATGGAGCAAGCACAAAGATGAAAGTGGGAAATTCCCTTGAATATAATGAAGAACCATATTTGTCGTTTCAGTCTTGAACAACTAATTATCCAATGCCTCACTAGAATCCATACTATTTACAAAAAAAGGATAGGTGAAAAGAAAATGTAACATATAAAGACAAAAAGGGTCTAGTTGAAACTTATATATTTATCAAAGCATGAAGCACAAATGCCCACTTTATATGTATAACTATATGTATATGTGTGTGTATAAATATATATATATATATATGTAAACCAACCATACAACATGTGATAACAGCTGGATTTCAAATTCCCTCTCTTACTGAGGGAAAAGAAAAAATTTCCCATCAAGGTCCATTTTGCCTTGGACCAAACTACTTTACCTGGCCTACATGCAACAACCAACTAACCAAGTGAGAATATAAAAATACTCCACTAACAGGGATACGGATAAAGATAACATTAATTAAAAGTTGAACCACCGTCCAAGTTAAGCAAAAGGCTTTAATAAGAAAGATTTCCAAAAGTAGAAAGCTCGTGATTTATGTCGAGCAACTAACTCAGCAAGCTCATGAGTGGTTCTGGTGAATTTTCTCCACTTGTATCCCCGGAATGTGGAGCGTGTCGTTTTCCGTCTGAATTAACTCTTCCACCACTAAGAAAACTGAAAACCTGCTTGAGATTTCCTCTAGATGGCCGAGCATTCACTGCAAACCTGCAGATGAGTACCAATCTTCTTCGCATTTCCAATTTAGTAACGGAAGTCTCGCTGAAGAACTTTCCTCCATCGAAGGTTCCTAATGGAATAGACGAAAGTTAAGAACATACTCGTGTAACATGAGGGGAATTGAGAAAAATTGGAAGCGTGAATATTCCTCACCACGCACAAAGATTCGTGCTTTGGTGACAAGCTTTTGTTTTTCAATAGGAACTTTAGTAACAAGCTATGTTGAGCAAAGTTAAATGCTTGCTCTAAATCCCAAAAATAAATATAAAAATAAAAAGTATGAGTAAAGATGAAACAAATGAGAGTTTATGCAATAGATACGATTCTGTAAAGCTATTCAAGAACTACTAAAGGCAAAAGTTTACGGTATTTCACATTATAATAGTGAGACAAATTAAGACCTTTCATTTCTTTGAAAATGGGAGATAATGGAACAAAATCAATAGAATTTTCTAATAAAATAATGCTATGCTGGCCCTTTCACGGGGAAAATAAAAACAAAGTTAGGTGGCAGGTACCTCCATCATCAAATAGTGATATCAAGATCGCCAAACAGACACATATGCTGATATCTTCCCCTGGAAATAGACAATGAAAAGATACGTTAATGGATGCCGGTTAAGGCAGGCATCAAGTGCAAGTAAACTTCCTACTTTGAGTTCCACAGGTAGTTAAATTAGGGAGGGTGTTTGGTTACTGCAGAAAATGAAATTTGAATCCTTTTTTTTTTTTTT